GAAGCAACAAAAATTCCACAGAGATGTAGTGATTTGAAAGAACTGTAGAAGATATAAGGAGCAAACACATACATTTGACTCTAGAGTTTTGTTGGTATTGATTTTTAGGATCACACCTAGTGGTGATCAGGGCTTACTCCTGGCTCTGCGCTGAAGGGATCATTCCTGGCAAGATCAGGGTACCATATAGGTGCTGGGGACTGAACATGGGTTGGTCATGTGCAAAGCAATGACCACATGCTGTACTATCTCCAGCACTGTTAGCTCTAATTTGAAACTGGGCTGGTGAACCTTCAACTTCTAAACATATATCAAGAAATATTGTTGTCTTGATTTTAATTTCCCTAATAATAAGTGATGATGAGCAGTTTTTCATGTGCTTGTTGGACATTTATTGTTCTTTCTCAGAGAAGACCCTGTTCATTTTCTCTCCCCATTTTTTGATGGAGTTTCTGGATTTCCTGTAGTTGATCTTTGTGACTACTTTATATATTCTGAATATCAATCCTTTATCTGATAGGTTGACAGCAGATATTTTTTAACCGTCCAGTTAGCACTCTTTTAGTTTTAGCCCATATTTCTTTGGGAATGTAGAAACTCTTAATTTGACACAGTCCCATTTGCTTATTTATGATTCTATCACCTTTGTTCAAGGCATTGTATCACTAAAAACACCTTTAAAATCCAGCCTTGGAGTACTTTGCTCTTACTTTCCTCGGTTTATTGTACAGATTTTGGTCTGATCTCAAGGTCTTTGACCCACTATGAACTGACTTTTGTGTATGGTGCGAAATACAGACTGATCCATTAAAAAAGTACCTGTAAAAGTGGCAGGCTGGGGATGGGAGGGTAGGATAAGGAACCTATGAAGATTGATAGGAGAAAATTGACTTTTAATATGAAAAACTAAAAACAAGTTCAACTGACATTAAAGAGTTGGTAAATTGAGCATTTTTATATAATGAAAACACTAGTCAGCTTTGATCATAAATGAATGATAAGAACAAGCAAAGATGACTCTCACAAGGTATCAAACACCAACTGGTATTGCAAAGAAAATATAACATCACTTATATAAAATTCATAATCAATCAAAAACCTACGTGTGTGTGTGTTGGAAGGAAACTATAAAGAATAGAGTTGAAGAGATGCTATAGTGCTAAGCTATGTTTTTCAAAAGAAAATCATAGTAGTGCCCACGGACTTGAACTTTTGATGGCCGAGAACTGCTCCCCTGGCCAGCCCAAGGCGACGGACAGACAAAGGACCAGGGGAATGGAGAAATAGGAACTGGGTCCCAGGCTAGTTGGTAGTCTCTTTATTTCTCTCTCCTCTCGCACACAGTCCAATCTCTCCCGTTATGATATAATCATAGTCATAGTTTTGGTCGTAGTCCCCGTCATCATAGTTCCATCATCCTAGTCTCATAGACCTCAAAGTTTTCTTGTTATATCTTCCTCATCTTGTTGTACTCTTACAGTACTCTCATCACCCTTTCAGTCATCGCCATCTAGTCTCCCTTCTAGTCCCCTCTTACTCCTTACAGCATAGTTATATAAAAACCATGAATGGTGGGGGTACAAATAGGTGGGGTTGAACATTGTCATAATAACTGAGGTAAAGCTACTCTTTCAGGGAAAGTTTTGGGAGATTAACTCAAGGACAAAATCTTATCTGAGGGTTCTGCACTCCAGATACCATCCAGGGTATACTGTTTTCTCCTTTCCTCAGCTAGTAATCTCTTTAATCAATCATAGTAAATTTACTTCTTATAATATTTCTAGTCATTTTATATGAACACAGTAAGAAATATTTTAAGCTTAAAGTTTGGCTCTTCCTGGGGACATGTCGCTATATATCCCAGACTATAGTCCTCAGGCCAGGTTAGTCTTTCCTAATCCAGTAGGGTCCTTATTTAGTTACTTCTTTTTGGGTCATGACAGAGTTTGTTCCATGAGCATGCCTTACGTTATATTTATGGCACTTGGCTTGTCTCCTTTTGATGCCAGGGTAGCTTACAGCTTGCCATGGGTCCACCCAGTCCCTTTGTAGGGACCCTGCTTTTGGAGTGCAAGGAACTAAGGGTAACTGAGGCTTAAGTAAGGCTCTGAGGCTTAAATATGGATGCCCAGGAGTAAATATAATTTTGGAGTCAATTAACTCGTATGTTACAAAGCATAGTATGCACTGTCTTTCTGTGTCTATACAAAAAGGACATTGCTAAATAAACATGCAAATGACATAAAGGAAAGAGAAAACCAATACAGGATAACTAGTGCTTGATGAAACTGGGTGTGCCTCAGGGTCACTGTTGTGGGACTAACTCAATAAACCTAAGCTCCCTGCGGGAGGAGCAAGGACAACCCAATGTTATCAAACAGTAAGGTATTTGCCTAGTACATGCCCAACCTGGCTTCTAACCATATATGGTCCTTGGAAACCTCACCAAGATTGAGCCAGGAGCCAGGAATAAACCCTGAGCACTACCAGGTGTGACTCAAAGCCCCCAATCCACCCCACCCACCCCCCAAAAAACTCACAAAGAGAGTTATATAGAGAAACAATAACATTCAGGATGATAGGGGGGAAAGAGAAGTGGTGGAATTTGAGCCAAGCACAAAGCTCTATCTTTTTATTTATAGGCAATCCATCATTCATGTTGATGCCATTCGTTATATTCAACTAATTTGCTAGAGCGATAGCAAAGTGGGTAGGGCATTTGCCTTGCATGCATCCAACACGGCCAACCCAAGTTCAGTTCCTCTGCCCCTCTTGGAGAGTCTGGCAAGTACCTGAGAATATCTCGCCCACACAGCAAAGCCTGGCAAGCTACCCGTGACGTATTCGATATGGCAAACACAGTAACAAGTCTCACAATGTTGCTGGGCCCGCTCGAGCAAGTTGATGAACAACAGGAGGACAGTGACAGTTACTCATTTGCTATATTCTGTGTATATACAGCATTTTTAAAATACTATGGGCATACTTCCATGTTTACAAAGCTCTCAGAAAGGGGCCAGAACAATAATACAGCAGGAAGAGCTCTTGCCTTGAATACTGTTGACCATATTTGGATCCCCATATGGTCCCCTGAGCAGAGTTAGGAGCAATCTGTGAGTGCAGAGCCAGAAGTGAGTCCTGAGCAGTGCCAGGTATGTCCTTCCAAACTTCCCCAGGTATGTCCTTCCAAACTTCCCCCTCCCCTGCCAAAAAAAAAATGCGCTGAGAAAATTGAAGAGATAGTACAGGGCTTCACGCACTTGTCTGGCATGTGACCAGTTTTGATTTGATCCCCAGCAATGCACTATGGTCCTCTGAGCACTGCCTAGAGATACTCCTGAGCACTAGTAGTCTCAGGAGTAAACCCTCAGTACCACTGGTGTGGTCCAATGTCTACCTATAAATACATTTATCAGAAGATCACAGAAATAACACTGTAGAGTTTATAAACATTTGAAAGTAACTTTTTCAGTTTCTCTAAATAACAGATACCTAAAATATACTCAGAATATTAGAAAATTATCACTTATGCTTCACATAATTCCTCTTCAAGATAAATATTTCACTCTTAGTTTCATCATTAATTTTCTGAGTTAACTATGATTTGGTATTGTCATGTAGATTGAACAACGGTATACAGCAAAGATGAGATTCAAACCATATCTAACACTGCAAACTATGGAGGCACTGGTAAATACATCTGATTTAATTACAACAGCAAGGGGCCAGAGAGGGAGTACAGTGGGTGCTTGCCTTGCAAAACAGCTGACAAAGTCTTAATTCCTGGCACCCTATACCGTTCCCCAAACCCTGTCAACAGTGACTCCTGATGCAGAGCTGGAGTGAACACTGAGTACTGCCTGCCGTGTGCCCCCCCCCCCAAATAAAAACAAACAAGATTACCACAGCAAAAATAAATTTCCACATGAAGACAAAACCAATCTGTCACACCACTGTTTCCTAACTTAACCTATCTTAGCATTTTAAATGTACTCATGATACATTTAATCAGGACATCTTATCAGGACATCTTTTATGACATATTATCATCTCATTCCTACTTTGGACAAACTTGCAGGCCACAGGGCAGAGTCTGGCAAACTCCCCGTGGCGTACCAAATATGCCAAATACCAGTAACAATGATGGGTCTCATTCTCCTAAAGAGCCTTGAATACAATCTCAGAGTTAGGATGAAAGAGACTTTACTGGGGCCTGCTCGAGGCAATCGACGAATAATAGGATGAAATGATAATAATAATGATGATAATGATATTCCTTAAGAACTTGTGCTTTATTTCACAATACCTTTTCGTTGCTTCATGATCAAATTTATCCCTTAAACATATCAATTTTTTTAAATGGTGAAGATACCAATTATGTTTACAGAAAAATCTTACCTAGGTTGTGTTTTTCTGCAATTCGAATGTTTTGAAGAGGGAAACTTAGGAAAGCTCACTGTGGGTATGCTGAAATTTAACATTCTCATTGAACTACCATCTCAGAACAGATAAGCTCAAGTGAACAGGCTTGCCAAGCCCCAGCAAAATTATTCACTTCCACCCTCTCTATACTCATCTTTCTTTCCATTTATACTTCATAACCTAATTTTAAACTCTTGCAGGAATCCTGATTTATATCACATGGTCTTCTCTCCTTTGTTGGACTCAAGACCTTTTCAGTACACATACAACATAGTCCATTTCTGTAATTAACTTGTCAGTTTTTTATTTTGCTGTTTTTATTTGTATGTGTGTCTAATCAGCATGAGTCACATTTACAGATGTGGCTAGATGATAGAACTCATTCATGAGTGTGAATTTACAGCTGTGCTAAGTCCCAAATATACTGTAACAACAGCAGCGATAAAAACACCCCCCTTGCCCCAAAAAGTCCATACGTAGAAAAATGTACATGTGCTACGCCCTAACTCATTCTCCTTCCCCCAAAGCACCATCAGCGTGCTCTATGAGTAGTAGATCATCTTAATAAATTGACTTACTACAGTGGAACAATTCGCCTCTGGTATTTCTCAATATCCCAGTGAATCCTTCACATCTATAAACATGCTGGAGATGATATCAGGTACTGCTAGAGGCTTGGGGTCTTCCTGAGGATGCCTGGGACAAGAAAAAACACAGAGAAAAGACCAAAGACAGTCAGGAGAAACACAGAGAGAGGGAACATGGAAATAAACAAAGAACAGAAAAAGTGAGAGTAAGAGTCAGGAGTTATAGAGAGATTTAGCAGCCAGACACTTGGAGACAGGAGGACGTTAGCAATCAGAACTTGGGTTTTGGTTTGGAAACCACATTTTGGGTACTATTTAGTTATGTAATAATTCCCATATTACTAAATTTATGATGGAAATCAGTCATTTCAAAGTTATTTCTAAGGTTATATCTTTACCTATTAAAGATCAAATCCATATAGTTTCATGTTTAGAGATATATAAACACAAATTCAAAAAAACACTGCTATAAAGTTTTTTCTAATTATTCAATTAAAAATGGTTACTTCAAAGAAATAATATGATGCCCAGGGTCACAAGCAAGATGATGATATTTGGGCCCCAGATGATCTGATTTCAAAATCTATTCCTTTTTTGATATCCTGTGCTACCTTAGAAATGAATCATATATAATTCCAAACTAGTTTTTATGAAATTCAAGCTGCACATTTAAGATAAATTGATTTATCTTTTGGGACACAACTCTTAGTATACTCACTACTGTAATTTATCTGTTTCTTTGATTTTAAAAATTTGTCAGAAGAAAAAAATTAATGAAAGTAGGCCAGAACAGAAAAATTTCAAGAAACAACAACTTGACAAAATGTTAACATTGAAGGAAGTTCAAGGACTGGAGAGATAGTCAAAGATAGTGAAGGGTTTATGATGCTTGCCTTTGCACAGTTTGATCCCTAATACCGCATACAGTCCACTCAGTCCAGAATGAGGAATAGCCCTTGAACACTGCTATGTGTGTGCCCAAATCTGCCCCCATGTTAGTTCACTGCTTTCACAATCTTTGAATTTTAAAGTCTCAACAATTCAACAATTTCAACCGGAAGATGAAAAACATGTTTCACATTTCAATGAATTCTTATATCTATGTACTAGTAACCTAGTCTCCAACTTGTTATCTTATAATGTCTCACCTACAGTCTGTACTGAAATTCAATTTCAGGGTACTACATAAGGTAGAATGATTTAATGCATCACTTTTGTAAGCCTTACTATTTTCTCTTGAGAGATACTTAAAACTCTTCAAAATAATCATGCCCTTTGGAAGCAATCAATAAAATTGCCAGAACAGCTCCTTTGATACAAGTACATCTTATTGGATTTCGCAGCAAGACAAGACAATAAGAATACTAAGACGGTTCTATTCAACTGTGCATCAATGTATTTTTCTCATGTTCAGCAATTTTTAAACCAGAAATTCTCAAAAAAGGCCTAAAGTACAGTACTGCTCTGCCCTCTAGTGACTGGCTAGGTTTTACTAATTACTTGCTGTTTAAAAAATTATTCTTGAAGAAAAAAATTTTAAATATGTGTGATATAGCTGCTTTTCACTATTTTGAATGATGAGAACATTGTTAACTTTGAAAGATAAGTTTTATGGGATTAACAATGCAAGTAGATGCTATTTTTATAAGGATGGCTGCAACTAAAAATACAAACCAGAACAAACATAATCTATTCTGACCCTTTTACATAATCTATGTAATCTATTAATAGCCTTTTATATAGTCTATTAATAAATGCACCATATTCCAATCATATTTTTTCAAAATTTATTTTGACAGTCAAATAATTTCATTCTGTAAAGGGGAAGTAGTTCAAAGGAGCAGAATCTAGAGACCTTGCATCTAGAGACCTTAAATTCAATCCCAGTACTACATGGCCCTCAAAGTGTTGGTACATATAATTCTGGGGATCTGTTGGGGACTCCTACCCACCTCCGGAAAAAATAATTCTAATCAGTTCGTCAAATAACAAGCTTTAAAAGTCATATAATTATAAAATGCCGTATTGGTCAATTCTATTATTTTGGTGACTGAGACAACAAAGTGAATGATTTTATACACACACATATACAAATATATACATATATACACAAATACACACACAAAAATATCACATTAATGAATACTGTTCTCTAACAGAGCTAAATAAAAAAAAACTTCACTAAATACAAAAACTACTCAAAACACCCTTTAATCTTAACACTTCAGGATTTACCAGCACCTTCATGTAAATATTAGGAAAATGACTATCATGAAAATATGTGGAAATACTATTCATGTGTGTGAGATAAAATATTATTTAAAAAAGATACCCTAGTATTCATTCTCATGAAAGGAATTTTCCCATGTAGCTTGTTTGCCACAAATTAATAAATTTCCTGAGCAACATTACCATTCTTGTGTGTAACAAACTCATGTTAAATATAAACAGTACATATTAAATAGCACTATCCATAGCACTGTCCTCTTGATCATCTGTTTATCGATTTTTCTCAAGCAGGCATCAGTAATATATCCATTGTGAGATTTGTTGTTACTGTTTTTGGCAGTAAAAAGAGAACTCCCAGAACTACCACCAACTGGGAACTCTTTGACACTATTGTGGCAACATGGGAAGATGCCATTGTTGACAACATTGACGAGGAATACGATAGACTGGTTAAGCACCTCCATGAATGTGCGAGGAACGCCAAGAGAGAGAGCCACAAAAAAACGCCTGTCTTCGAAAACTCTTGAGCTAATTCGCCAGCGTGGTTTGGCGCATGCCTCAGGCAACCGCAAGCTAACATCCAAGCTCGCAAAGCAGTGCAGAGATGCGATCAAGGAAGACCTCAAAGAGAGAAGAGCAGAAGTACTGGTAAGATGCGGCAGAAGCCGGGAAAAGTATTCGTAACGCCCGCCTGTCCTTCGCCAACTACAAGACCAAGATGACTGCCCTCCGACGTCCTGATGGATCCATCACACCCTCCAGAACGGCAATGGAGAAGATTATCCATGACTTCTACTCAAATCTCTTCGACAGCCATGTCCACTTGCCGACATACCAAATTCCACAGGATGGATATGTCGTTCCCAACGTTCTCCCTTCCGATATCCGACACGCCATTTCGTCGGTAAAGAAACAAACAGCACTCGGCCCAGACAAGGTCAGACCTGAACACCTGAAGAACCTGCCATCAGTACTCATCAATACACTGGCTCGGATCTTCACTCACTACCTGTCTGAATGCAAGGTTCCATCCCAATGGAAAACCAGCAGGACCGTACTACTGTTCAAGAAGGGAGACATCCATGACATTGGCAACTATCGCCTGATCTGCCTATTGTCTGTCATCTACAAGTTGTTCACTCGAGTCATCCTAAATAGGATTGGCAGGACACTAGATGAAGGACAACCATGCGAGCAAGCCGGGTTCCGCAAAAGATTCAGCACCATAGACCATATCCACACAATAACCAAACTCATTGAGATTTCTCGGGAGTTCAAGATGCCGCTCTGTTTAACGTTCATTGATTTAAAGAAGGCCTTTGATTCTGTTGAGACGGAAGCGGTCATTGAAGCCCTAGCCAATCAGGGCATTCAAGCCCAATACATCAAGATCCTCCGTGAGCTGTATTGCAGATTCACTACCAGGATCTCACCATTCTACAAAGAAGTGATCGTTGATGTCAAGAGAGGGGTGCGGCAGGGTGATACCATTTCACTGAAACTCTTCAGTGCCACCCTCAAGAACATCATACGACGACTGGAATGGGAAGGAATGGGAGTGAAGATAGATGGTCGGCAATTACACCACCTCCGCTTTGCTGATGACATTGTTTTAATAACACCAAACATTAGCCAAGTGGCACAAATGCTGCCCAACTTTGACTGTGAGTGTGGAAAGGTAGGACTACAGCTGAATTTTACGAAGACAATGTTTATAAGAAACAGCCTCGTTCCTGATGCCCCATTTGCTCTCAATGGAACGACCATCTCCGAATGCAACAGCTATGTGTACCGTACCTAGGTCGAGAAGTCAACATGACAAGTGACCTGGCACCCAAGCTGCGCAGGAGGAAGAGAGAGGCTTGGAACGCCTTCAAGAACGTCGAAGAAATAGCTAAGAGGATGAAGAACCTCCGGCTCCGGGCACATCTCTTTGATTCCACTGTTCTTCCTGCATTAACATATGCCTCAGAGACCTGGGCCCTACGCAAACAGGATGAGAACACTATTCAGGTCTCCCAAAGAAGAATAGAAAGAGCTATACTTGGAATATCACGTTTCACTCAAATGAGAGAAAAAATCCGGAGTTCCAACATCCGTCAACGGTCAAGAATCAGGGACGCTGTCTCATTTGCCAAGATGTCAAAAATCAGATGGGCTGGTCACATAATGAGATTTAAAGACAACTGCTGGACTAGAGTTGTTACTGACTGGATCCCACTGGATGTCAAAAGACCGCGTGGCCGCCCACCTACCAGATGGTCAGACTTCTTCGTCAAGATCATGAACGATCGGTTTGAGGCTCTTCATGTTCCCAGAGCGAACAGATGCCATTGGGCTACACTAGCACGCGACAGGGACAAATGGAGACATTACTGGCACCCGCTCGAGCAAATCGACAAGTAATGGGAAGTTAAGTGATTTAAGTGATTAAGTATTTGGCATATCAAATACGCTACGGGGAGCTTACCAGGCTCTCTGAGAGGGACGGAGGAATCAAACCCGTGTCGGCCGTGTGCAAGGCAAACGCCCTGCCTGCTGTGCTATCACTCCAGCCCATGTGCTACACATTAAATATAAACAGTAAATATGAAAGGAGAGCGAGTACTTAAGTATAATTCATATATAGGAAGTGGTGTGGTTAGGAGCCCAAAATTCTGCAAACTACTAGGATTTGAATTCCAGCTCTGACATTTCTTAGTAATGCAACTTAAAACAGCTTATTAGATTCCTTTGCTTCAGTTTTCTAACCTACAAAGCATGACTAAACATAGATACCTACCAAGAGTAACATTTTATATCTTTTTTGATAATTGGGTAACATATGCATTTGTCAAAACTAAGAGACTTAAACTACATTTAAGGCAGGTGTTTCACTAC